TCGCTCCCCGACCCCTCCGAGCTGCCATCCACTACTGTCTGTTACCAGCTGACTTTCATTTCCTTTTCAGAAAGGTGTGGGACGCAGTGAGTGGAGACGAGGTCCTCACACTGGCACATAAACACATCGTCAAGACGGTCACCTTCACTCAGGTGAGTGCACGTCAACACGACTTCGTCAGTCGACGTTAGAGATGTCCGATATTCACGATGTCCGATATTCACTTTTTGTCCAAAAACGTAATTTCCTGTTCTGATATCAGTCGATACCGTTATAGGCCTGGTGATATTTATTTATTTAAATACCGTTATAGGCCTGGTAATATTTATTTATTTATTTCTCTGTACAAACCACTGTATGAGTATGAGATTAATTAAATGAGCTGCAATGCTGCCATCTAGTGACTTTCACTTCAATATACGGCTGTTTATCCCCAAAACTATTTTTCATTTGGCGAAACCCAGGTATTGCGTTATTAGGTTTTCATTATCATAGGGGAAAAAAACAATAATGATTCTTACAGATATTATCGGACATCCCTAATGTTGTGTTTATTTTCACTGTGGATCGTGTACTCCAGGTTTATCTGCTGGACGTCACAGGACACATTTCCCTATAAATCCTACATCAGAACCATCATGAAATTCTAACAATCTTTTTAAATTCTTTTTCTCAGTTCTCCTGTGTTTTTCTCGTCCTCAGGACAGCAACTGTCTGCTGACCGGAGGGAACGACAAGTTACTGCGGATCTACGATCTGAGCAGCCCAGACACAGGTAACTGAACTGGGCAGGTGTCGCAATCTGACCTGAATATGGAGCAGAGGAAATGTGTTATTTCACCTGCTCATTTGTCATTACATTAATCACGGGTCATGTTTCCCAGCCTGTGTGTCATTGCACTTTTATTGATAAGTCATTAATAAAAGTGCAGTTTTGTTTTGTTTTTTTCACACAAAAAAAAGATATCCCTGCCCCCCATTTTGGGAACCATTGTCGTAATTAATTATTTGTATGACTCACCGTTTGTGTTGCCTGTTACTGATGAACCCGTGTGTGTTTTAGCCCCACAGGAGATTGCAGGTCACACCTCAGCCATAAAGAAAGCTTTGTGGTGTAATGATGACAAGCAGATCCTCTCAGCTGCTGAGGACAAAACCATCCGGTGAGTGAAGAAGAAGAAGAAGAAGAAGAAGAGGACCGTCACCGTTTAACATGTCTGAGCTCCATATCTGACCTCTGACCTCGTGTGTTGTCTCTGCTCAGACTCTGGGACAGGAACTCCACGGAGGTGGTGAAAACACTGACGTTTGACGCGTCCGTCAGCAGCATGGAGTACATGGCCGATGGAGAGATTCTGGTGATCACCTATGGGAAGACGATCGCTTTCTACAACGCTCTGAGGTGAGTGGAGCAGACAAAACATGTGACCTGACGTTCACATTTGAACCTCGTTGTCTTCATTTACAACAATGAGCGACAGTTTAACTTTGCTCTGTGTTTGTAAAACTGTATCCTTGAAAATGTTCCTTATTGAAAGTCGTTACGTAGGAAAGTCGCGTTTTAAGTCGAGTCATAGCAGCTTTTAGAAGTGTAGACAGTGCCCTCCTGTGGCCATCAATGATTGCGTCTGCAGTATACAGTACATGTTGCAGGACTAGTTTATCCGACATAAGTTAATGTGTCATTATGTTCCAGCCTGGACCTGATCAAGGCGGTGGAGGCTCCAGCCCCCATTAGCTCCGCCTCCCTCCACCCAGAGAAGGACTTCTTTGTCGCCGGAGGAGAAGACTTCAAACTTTACAAATTTGACTACAGCACCAAAGAAGAGCTGGGTAAGGAGCACACTAAAATCAGAATCCACATCAGTGTCACTCACCGTGAAGCACAGCAGGGGGCGACTGGTGCCAAAATAGATCTGCTGTGTAAATATTGAAAATGTTACTGATTGGGTTTTTTTTTTTAATAAAATGTACAGTGTATTTAGATGAGCTTGCTAACGTTGGGACAGAGTATCTGATTGTTGGTTCTGTCTGCAGAGTCCTATAAGGGTCACTTTGGTCCAGTGCACTGTGTGCGGTTCAGTCCAGATGGAGAGCTTTACGCCAGTGGCTCCGAGGACGGCACCCTCCGACTGTGGCAGACGGCAGTTGGGAAAACCTACGGCCTGTGGAAATGTGTCCTGCCTGGTAATTTCCCTCAGATATCGTATATAGAACACATCCTCAGGTGGTGTGGGGAAATCACCAGTTGATTTAAAGTTCAAAATAGTTTTAGTTTTATGCAGCTTTTCCACAAATATAGGGAGAGCAACACTGAAAAATGTACGTTGAGCTGCACTGAAAATCAGACTAAAATAATAAAAACACGCGGCCGGTCATTTACTGACTTTATTACAACTGAACACAAGGAAAATGACAGAATTAAAATTAAAATTGTGATTTTCCTAACAATCGTTTATTAGAAATGAATCTCATAAACTTGAGTCAAACAGGTTTGTCTTCTACTTCTGTTGCCTCTGAGTTAGTGTTGGATTTCAGTTTCACATAGTCTGTAGCTCCATACAGCGTTTGAACAGACCTGGGACACAAGCAGTCATTGTAAGTCAATGTGAAACTAAATACTTTCCTGGCGTCACTTTCATCAGGTTTGTCAAACCCATTATTACCAGTGATGACATCATCATTGGGGTTGTCCTCAGGAGACCCTCTGCGACT